CAGGAATATGTAAACAAGGAAATAAATAAACCTTGCCTAAATGTTCCTCAGGAGAAAACAAACAATACAATCCTTCTTCCTATTTGCCTCTTTTAACTAGAAGATTTAATTTCTTTATAAAGAAACCAAAAAGTTTATCCTCTCACAACTTTTCCTAATGCCTTTGAAATTAAAATACATACGTTGCTATAGTGATGAGTAACATGTAGATGATTCTGAAGACAACATAGGACGCGTAGCACACCCAAATGTTACCCGCGGTGTCCATGATATACACGGAGGCAGCAATCAGGAGAGAAAATAGAGACAATGTCATTTCTCCCCAAGTTGACCAGGATATTTTAATGTAACCAACTGCAAACACAGCAACAGCACCTATAAAACAAAAAATAATCTGGTTATTTTGCTAAATAAATACTACTTCAATAGTTGAAAAGTCAGCTTACATTTTAAAAGCTTTGAACTTACAAAGAGGGTAGCTCAAGATTACAGAGGGTCTTTAAAGTCAGGCAGAGATTTTGGACTTAATAGAATAAATAACATGGAGCCAGTGAGATGACAAGAGATTAAATTAGGCCAGTCTGCAAAGAGATGGAAATGGGGGGCACAGACCTGGGGGTGTTGCCAAGGCAAAGGTCATCAAATTAGAAAGGGACAATAGAAAGGTCAATGACACAGGCTCTGAGGTCACGTCTTGACTTTACTTCTTACCATCTGTATGACCTTGACGAGTTATTAACATATCTGTCCCAAGTTTCCTTAACTGTAAAATGGGGATGCTAATTGTACCTATCTTAGGAATTTTGTGAGGATGGATTTAACGTACATTAAGCCCTTTGATTAGCACTTAACACATGTTAACATGACATATAATAGCTGCTGTTATTGTATATTGCTACTCAGTTTTACATTAGGTGGCAAAAACACCCAGAAATCAGATAATGGAGACTTGGACATGAAAACAATTTTGAAATCATGATATTAGGTTTCCCAGAGGTAATAAAGAAGTCAGGTTTGTTAGTCAGAGTCTCTACCACTTGAGCACTTCCTCCTAAATTATAAAATCAGAGCTCAAAATAAAGAATCTTGGGATCACTTCAGATTTGGGCGGGGAGAGAAAACCTGACTGTGACAGCCTTCACTCCCAGAGGACTTGCCCCCCGCACCACCCGCTACCACCTCGCCTCACTTACCGAGTAAGGTTGACACGGCCTCCACGCCGCCGTTATAGACAGCGGCATGACGAGAGGGCATCACCTGCTCCCACAGGCCCTGTGTGTAGTTCACAACCAGGAAATAGCCGCAGGTGGAGAGGGCCCACCACGCCGACCAGCAGAGCAGAGGGCGACGGGAGTAGCACGTCAGGAAGTCATCCCATAGCGCCTTCAGCACCAGAGCACGGTCTGGCTTCAGCTCCTACACAGCAGAAGGGACAGCTCCAACGTCATGACGCAAATGCACAGGGGGCAACTGTACAGAACTATGACCAATGTTAATATTTAAAATACTTATGTGTATACAAATTAATCTTAGCTAAAGCCATTTTAATACATTCAAAACTGATCTTTTAAAAGGTTCTTACTCTTTTTTCTACTACGTGAGATCTACCAAATGACTCTACTTTCCCTCCCTCATCAATTCTTTGTTAATTCTCCAACATCATCTAACAAATTATGAAGGAATCAGCATTTCATTTCTACTCAGTCCCTGGTAACTCAGACAGAAGCTGCCCACATGTGCCTTAATAATCAAAGTGAGTTTCATGATAAGTGTCACCCACTGGGATGATAACCTAAATTTCAACTAGTAACCAGTGGTAAAAAAAGAGGGTAGGCAAAGTAGATTGATTTTCACTGAGGACATCAGATGCCACATTGAAGCAATTTGGCTTAACTCCAGGTGGAAAGGCAAAGACTTCATGTTGGTCCTTTACTCTCATCCAACATACAAAGCTTATAGAGCTCAGTTTTATTCCTCTTTTGATTCTCTTCTTTGTATTATTCATTACTACCCCACTTCAGCCAAGTATCATTTGAAGTTAAATATCAGATATCATTTCCAGCACAGAATAGGAAGGTAACTCCTATCCTTAAATACTTTGGGCTTCAATTCAGAAACTGGAAGTAGATATTCTTTATTTATCGGAATCATTTCATCTATTCATTTAGCAAAAATTTTCTGAGTGCTTTCTTTGAATGCCAAGTTCTGGGGATTGAAAGATGAAGAAGAGACAGCCTTTGCTGTAACTTCTAAGACATTTCTGACACAAGCAATATAATGTTGTGTTAGTCTGACCTTGAAGGTCATTCGCTCCTGGGGAAAATGTCATCCCTAATTTAAATCAGCCTTATCTTGAATCAATGAATGAATAGACCAACCAACCAACTTGGGATAAAACCTGAATCCAAATGAATACAAGGCCCAGCGAGAGGGGGTTTCCTGTCTGCTTTTTCACCACTGGTCTGGTCCCCAGAGTAGCCACCCCAAGACACTGAAGGCTGAACTTACCGCTTCCTCTATGGGAGTCTCCTCCACATTTAGAGGGATTTTTGACTCAACATCCTCCCACCTGGGAAGGTGATTCGAAGCTGAGGTGTCAGTAACAATGCCACCGTTTTGTATCTTGATACCATTCACTCCCTGGCAGATGGAATGAACGTGGTGGAAAAAAAGGCTCTTCTGTGGCATAGGCAGAAACCAGGCCACGGCGAAAGCCACGGAGACAGAGGTAAGAGAGATGACATTAAGGCTGAACAGGGACCAGCCTGCCACTGAGACGAGGATCTGCCCTACGACAGAGCCTACTGTGAAGCCCAGCAAGGTGGCACTTCGACAGTAGCTTGTGACTTTCTGGTACAGGCTCAGGTCCACCACACTGTACACATAAGAGTAGTAGGCAATTTCAGTGGCCGTGGCAACACCGTAGAAGAATTCCAGGAACTGAATGGCCAGCAGTCCCTGGGCATAGAGCAGCATAAACCATGTCACAATAAGGCTGAGCCCCTGCAGCAGAATCACGGGTTTGTAACGGAGGTAGTCTGTGGCAAGAAACACAGGAAACAGCAGCACCAGGTAAGAATAAGTCCACACTGGATAAATTTCATTGAAGACCTGATAGTAAAAGAAGGATAAAAACCCATTAGTGACATCAAAAGGCCTGGAATATTCATAGCAATTCATTCTTATAAAACAACCTACCAACACTTCAAATACCTCATCCTCATCAAACCAAAGAAATCTCGACAACAATTCTGATAATTGTTTAGAATATACTTCCCCATTTCCACCCCTTCCTCTTTTTCTTAAAATCTTCCCCATTCATCAAGGCCTAGTTCAAAGCCTTCCTCTTGCTGGGAGACTGCCAGTCGCAACATTCAAAGCTCCCTTGCCACTGCTCTGTATGCATCAGTCTCCCCAATTACCTCATAGCACCGGTTCTCTTAACCAAGGCTGCACATTTCCCAAGGAGCTTTAAGCATTTTGGATTCTCAGCCATGGACATTTTTAAAAAGCTCCCAGGAGATTTTAATGTGAGACATAGTTGAGAACCATTGCCTTATAGGTTCTCTGGGGGTGGACTCACCTGCACAACCTAATAGCATACTGTTTAGAAGATACTTGGATCGATAAACATTTTGGAGTCACAGTCGATTCTTACTTCTAGCCACAGGATAGGGAACCTTGATGCTGCTGTTTAATTAGGACTGATCTGACTGTTCTGATTTTAAGTTTCATTTCTTTGGGGGTACAGGAATTAGTAAAGGCAGTAAATCTGTCTGCACTTTGACAGCGTAACTACTTGTAGGTGGTAGGATTATAGGCAACTTTGATGTCCTTTTTGCTTTTATTTAATATGAAAAAAAAGAAGTGTTGCTGTTAAGTATTTTTTAAATTGAGATATAGTAGAAATAATAAAGGAAGAAGCAAGAGAACTAAACTGTTAAATCAAGCTACATTCAGACCCTGTAATATGCTGATCAGCGCTGCAGACAGAAGAAAGCAAGCTTTCAGCTGAGATTGCTAACAACCCATTTCCCCACACCAGGAAGGGGAAACAGAGAAAAGCAGCCACTCAGAAAAACCAGAGTCTTTAAGTGTCTGCCCTATGGCTAAAACCGTGGGAACCTGTGGATTAAAGGCTGGGAGCTGCCACCAGGCCTTTCACGCTATATAGCCTTCCCTTCCCATGCTACATACTCTTCCCCTTCCTCACTGTGTGTCCATATCAAAGGAAAACGGGTAAACGCAGTCTTTAAACTGTAACCCACAGGAACTGGAGAATGGTATGGAAACCGAATTCCCCTAGAACACTGGGGGTCCCTCTCAGTGCCTCTACTCTGTCTCTCTGTCCTTGTTCTCTATTGTCTCTGTCCCTTTTTATCTCTCTTAGGCTTTCTCACTCTGCCTCTGAGAGGAGACCTCACTCTGTAGAGTGTTGTCCCTTCTATAATGAACTTTCTCTTTGACTCTTACTTTGATGCGTGTTTGAATTCTTTCTACACTCTCTGCCAAGAACCCTCTTCTCTCTCAGTGCAGGGCTTGGTCTCCTTCCCACTTGGGGGAATCTGCACTGTCCTGCATCAGGAATAATCTTTAAAATAAGCTTTAAACCATTTAAGACCCAAGCTAGAATTTCAGTTCCATCGCTTGCTGTGTGATCCTAGGAAGTTTTAATTCCCTTTAGACTTAATCTCCATTATCAGTAAAAAAAGGGATAAGACCTATACCATCGGGTTATTTGTTGCAAGGATTGAATAAGAGCATCGGGTTATTTGTTGCAAGGATTGAATAAGAGCATACATGTAAATCATTCCACTTCATTCATAGGTCTGAAGACTTGAGGACAGAAGCAGATGCACAGACCACTCGGAACAATATGAATTAACTAAATTAATTAAGCTATCACCCTCATTCTTCTAATAACAATCATTGTAGAAGACTTTTGCCTCCTCTTATACCTGCTTAGTGTCCAGCAAGGTCCTCGGGTGTAAGTCAGTCAGTTTTTAAATGATCATTTTGTGATGGAGCAATGCAATCCTAGACTTTGACAATCTAAATCCGAGGGTGACTTTCCTTTTAACTCTCATGTATATACTTCGGTTTGCCAATTGTAAAATGGACTAATTGTTTTAAGGTTTTAGAGGAACAATCAAGTAAAACCTGTAAAACCTTTTGCCAATGCAAAGCACACTATAAAAGTAAAACACGATTTAAAACATATTCCAGGCTTGATTTGCTTTTGACTTGCCGAAAACCAAAAGTGATTTGTCTAATAATAGCCTGACCTTCATGAGCTTTGGTCTAATTTGTGTTTGTTAATTATTTAGCAACCTCCACTTAATCAGGAAATGTTCTTGCACATGAATATGTGCATGAAAGAATAATTGAGAACTGTAGAAATGATTCTTATTCAAACCGTGGACACTGTAGCAAATGAAGAACAAAGTGCACTTGGCAGCTGTAACCACAGCGAAAGATGCCTCTCAATAGAAAAACCAGAGGAAAGGGAACCTTGACATGAAGGTCAGAAGAGCGAAGGCTTCCCTGCAGACGGCACAGCTAGGTTCCGTTAACAGCTTCCCGCTCCTTTTTTGCCTAGAGTTTTACAGATATTCTTCGCGGTTCTAAGTTTGAAAGTGCCTCCTCTGACTCACCTTCCCATTTCCCCAACATGTTTTTCCCAACCAAACACCACCACAGAGCTATTAACCGTCACACCTTTCCTTTAAAATACCCTCTGTCACTCCCTCCTTCAATACCCCATCTTCATTTGTTTTCTGCCACAGCCCTCGGACTTCGGCTCACTTCATCGCTGCAGTAACACGGTCTGTTCCGAGACATGTCCTGTGCCTTTCAATGACGGCTGTCCCAAACGGTGAACCGTCACATTTTCATCACTAAACTGCGCCCTTTCAATTACCAGTTTAAAATGTTTATGCTTATAGGTCTGTTTCTACTCCTAATACAAAACCACAATTGTGATAATGAAGATGAGGAAAAGTCACATTGCCAGACTTGCAATGCCAAGTAGAAACAAAAATAAAGGCAAGAGGGGGAAAGACCAGAAGAGTTCCTTTTTACTTCTTCTAAGTAAATCGGACTTTTTCCCTGAGAGAGACAACCCTAGATGAATGTCCCTCTCACGACATTACCAGCATTAGAAGAGCAAATCTCTACTGAGTAGCTGTACACTGTGCTAGTCACCTTACTTGACCTCATTTAATCCAAACGACCCTAAGAGGAAAATGCTTTTATCATCTCTGTTTTACAACTGAGGAAATCTGGCCTTAGAGAAAGGGTAAGTAAATTGTCCAAAGTTATCACAGCTAGTAACTGGCAGAGCTGAACCCAGACATTCTGAATCCGCCACACTTAAATGCCTCATTTCTTCAATCAGAAAACTATTATTGATTACATACTATGTTCCAGGATTTTTTGTAAGGCTTAGAACAGCTTTTTCAACCTGTACTGAGGTGCTTTTACAGGGTATTCATGAAGAGATAAAGACCACACCATCTCCAGAGCTTGCCATTGGGTCTCCAAAAGATCCCTTCTCTTTATTACCTCCAAGGAGAAGCTGTTACACCTTAAACTGCTTCTTTGATGGATACTTTGAATCTTGAATGCAAAAATGTACGAATTATAGATTCCCTGTTCAGACCCTAGACAACACCTCTTACCTCAGGTAAGATCTGCCATGTGAGCAAAGGGAATTGATTTTAAGGTACCTTTCTACAGCACAGACCAGAGATTGTTTGTGCTTTCCCCTGAGATTCAAAAAGTCAAGGGGAAACAGATGTTCAGTTTTAATTTATAATTCAGATTTAGACTTTTAGAATCAGGTTTCAATTAAACAACTAATTAATAAGCACTTATTTGCACAACACTGTTTTAAAGTTGTATGGAGATTACAAAAAAAAAAAAGAATAAAATGAAACCTCAGTTCTCCAGGAGTTCTGAACCTAGTGAGAAACATACATACATACATTATTGATCAGTGAGATAGGAAATATGGGGTTGCTTCTGTGAGATGGACCTTGAAGAATGTGAAAGTTAGAGGCCAACAGAAAGATATCAACTGATACGTATGGGAAGATTACTCCAAGCAGAGATCATATCTTCAAGCACAGGCCAACAGATGAGACTGGATATGCTGGACTTGCAGCTGTGAGGTAATGTGGATGGAGCTCGGGCATGTGGAAGGGAAGGGGAAGAAGGATGTAGTTAGTAGGAGACGGGCTGCTATGGAGGTGAGAGCCAAATTCTGTGAGGCTCTGAGTATCAGCCAGAACAAGTGGAATGATTTCTTTAAAGCAAAGAAAGGTAGTGAATATCAAATCACATGCTAAAAAAGATGAAAGGATAAAAAAGTTTTTACAAATAGAGCTCTATTTTATTAAAACTATTGGAATGCAGTCAAATTTTAACCTGTTTTAAAACTTTTTAAATGGTACCTAAAACAGGTTAAGGTTTTTCTTGATATCTAAGAAGAAAATCTTTTGAGAGGGGAAAGATGAGGAAATTCCGTCCTTTCTTTCCTCCTTTTGCCTTTGGACAGTTCACAATAGCTCTATTTAAGAAGATCCAACTCGGCCCTTCTAAAGTCTTCTAGGGGGAAATATGAACTTCAACACAAACATCACTGACCATGATTAGACAACTGCTTTGCCTAAAAAATCATGTAATATTTTTTAAATTAACTGTCCGTTGGTGAAAACAAGCACTCAGTAAGGAAGGAGAACAATTGTTCTACTTATTTCGGTTATTAGATATTCAAAAAACCCAGGGTTCTGGGGAGGGTGAACTGAGCCACACTGTGCATAACCAACAAACTCAGCAGTGATTCTGAAGTCCTCAGAGACAAATGAACTCTTTCCAGACACTAGCTTTCTCTTCAAACCCTGCCCGCTTCCTCATCTAATTAGCAATAACAGAAGTGTGCTATGTTTTTGTTACACGATCAGCAAATATTTACTGGGCTTGGCCCCCCTGCTTTATTCCTATGGCCCCTGGACGTACTTCACTCACTGCAGAAATCTTTCTTGTAAGGCAGGGCACATGATGGCACATCACAGAGCAACTCTCTGCCCAGGGCACGTGACAAAACAGATCAGCTTTCAAACATCAACACTGGGAGAATGTTTCTCCCCCATGCACTTCTTGTCAGGCAAGGTGCACAAACTGCAGGTCACATGGCAGTTCACATGAAACTTTAATTGTTAGCAGCTCACCAGCATATCGTTTCTGCTGCAGTGGCTACACCTCAGACTCAGTGGTAGTTGTGGGTGTACAGGATCATTCTCATATTTACTGCAGTAATTTTCTTCTTGTAAAATCATTCTGTTCACAAGAGCTGGATGTTTCCATTTTATTTTTTAACCAATATTAAAATTCAAACAGGTAATGAATAACTGTTATAGTCCCTTGTGGAGTGGTGCATAAGACCGAGAAACAGAAGATCCGAAGTTGGGTAAAAGTGAGTGATGCTTGCTAGAGATGAGACACTATGAGAAACTCAAATGAAACCTTTAATCCAGGATTCAACACTGACTTTCAATTCCCTGTCAAGTCCTTGAAAATGGAGGAGCAGTGTAACAACAAAGTAGGCTAAGAGTAATTATATCCTCCTCTGACCTGTTATGCAGGGATACTGAGTGGCTACTCCAAAGAGGTGACTACTAACCACAGGGAGAAGAGTGAGGTCTAGATGGGAGTATTTCACACCAACAGTGGGGGGTGGGGCGCAGGGTGGGAGAAGCAGGCATAGGAAAAAAGGACCAGCTAACGAGTGCCCACTCAGCTTTCACCCTGTGTAGTGTTCCAGAAAGGAGTACCAGACCTCAGCTCTCATGCTTTGTAGAGTTCAAGGGAGAGGACGTTGAACCTGCTTTATTTTGGTTTTGTGGGAGCACCTTGAGTTTAGTTCTTCAAAAACCAAGTGTTGCGATTGACCGTACACATTTTTAAAGTACACCATGCACTTTTGAAGTATTTTACTTGCAAACCCTCATCTAGGGAAAAATCAGCAAGTTCTTGACCATGGACTTCGGGCTCTCAATTACTCTGAACATCAGAGAGACAGAGCTTTTGAGAGATCTCACCATGTTGTTGACAAGCAAAACCAACATCTGTGAAGCAACAATTCACAATGCAAAAAAACCTATAATTAAGTGCCAATTCTGCGATATCATCTAAGTATCTGCTTTTATCCTAGGAGGCGGGGTGGGTGCGAGGGGCAGCAGATCCCCGGACACAGCTTCATCCAAATGAAATGAAGACAAATTAAGGTGATGGGTCCTTGTCCTCTACTGTCCTTATTTGAATAGGTCCATGCCGTCAAAGGTAAACGAAGTAACATACGGGAAGGGAGAAGGTAGGGTGTATTCGGGCGAGGGCAGAGCCTTTCAGAAAAGCAGAGGTTACTCAGCATCTGGTTCTCTACTTTCAGCAACAAATATTTACTCAACCACGACCATGTCCAAAGTACAGCGCGCTGTCTCCACTTTTTTATCCAAATACATCCCTCTTTTTCCCGAGCCCTCCGCAGGAGAAGCGCCCTATACACCCAACCGACAGAAAAACAGCGTGAACTGATGCAGCGCACAGCACGGAGCCGCCTCCCAACCGGGAAAAGTCACAGATGTCGGCCCAGAGTGGCTCCCGCGGCTGGAACGTCCTCCCCGGCCCTCGTCCTTTCCTTAACCGAATCCCTTCCGCACGCTCCCCGCCCGCGCCCGCGCCCGCTCCCGCGATCCCGGGCCCGGCCGCCGCGCGTACCTCCCTCTCCGTCAGGTTCTTGTCTGGCCCCAGCAGGTAGGGGGTCAGGAACGGCTCGGACGGCCGGAGACTGGCGAAGAAGCCATAGGCGCAGAGCAGCGCGGTGGGCAAAACCCAGCACTCGCGGGGGACCCTGGCCGTCCGCAGGAGCCTGGCGGCCGCCTGCCGCCGGAACACCGGGCGGGGCGCATCCATCCGGGCCGTGAGGAACGGGGGCCCAGGCCGGCCCCTTCTGGCTCCTCCGCCAACTGTGGTGCGGTTCAAGCGCTGCCACAGCGCGAGATCCGTCCCTACGCGTGGCGTCCCCTTCTCGCAGGGACAGGCCGCCCAGGTGGCCTACCGGCCTCCTCTGCTCAGATGCCTCACATCTCCACTCCCGACACGAGCTCGAAAAGGAGACACGCCTCGAGGCCCACCCCCCCGCCACCGCCTTCCGGCGTACAGCCAATCACAGCAGACGTCGGCAATGTGGCTTCTCTCCCATTGGTCGGCGGCGGCACGCCAGAGCGCTGACGTCCTCGGGCGCGGGCGCGGGGGACCATGGCAAGACTCAGTCCCTGCGCGGGCTTGTTGCTGCCACCTGGGTCAGTCAGGCGGGCCACCACCGGCTGCAGCCGCCGTGGGCTCGGTGCTGCCGCTCACCTGAGGGGCGTGCGCCCCGTGAGTGTAATCCCCACAGAAAGGAAGGAGCCGTCCCTCACAGAGGCCGTCTCTCATTCTCAGTCACCGTCCCTCCGGGCGTCCATTCAGATTCTCCTTCCCGAGAGACTCAGTGGACAAAGCCGGGCAAAGGTTTAACTTTGGGGCGGGGGGATGCTTAACCTCTCCTTCAGCAGCTGTCATGTTTCAAGTTGTGTTGAGAGACCACGGGAAGACACTAGAGGCCTCAGAGCGTTTGCCCAGAGACTGAACAGAAAGAAGCAAAGTACGTAAAATAGTGTGAGAAGAACGAACGAGTTAGTCACTCAGCAGAAGGACCGTAATGGAGTCCTAATTAAAGGGGTTTGGCTTTATTTTCTCACTTTTTGCAAGCAGGATAGAAAGAAGAAACACATAACTGAATGAGAGAGCCTGTGTTTAAAAAGGAAAGCGGGAAGTTCTAAGCCATTAAAGCAGTCATGAAATACTACCGGATCTCGCCGTTTAAAAAAAAAAAAGAGAGAGAGAACTTGGCATAGTTTTCAAGGGCAAAGCATGACCAGAATCCCCGGGGCTTTCTTTCATCTCTCTTTAAGCCTCTTTCTGTCTGACCCACAGCCTGACTCTCAGTCCAGACCACGCTGCACATTTAAAGCAATTTTCCCAGTGCAGTATTTGCAGACATCATTACTCTAAAGGCTAAGAGAATGTGTGCTTGTATATTTTTCTGTTTTTGAAAATCTTTCCAGACCTAATTTCTATGTGGCAATTATCAATAGGTATAACTCACAGAAATAAAGTCTTTACGGTCCTCAAAACAGAAAGCTGTTCGTAATAAGTGGGCTGCTCTTTCTGAGGCCTCTCGAGGTTTGCTTTCTCCTTCCTTGTAGCCCACTTATTACGAACAGCTTTCTGTCCCTTCCTGGAGGCTTGGAGTCCAGAGTTATGTTAACCTGTAAATCACTGGTTCCGGAACTTTTCCAGGTATAATCACTTAGGCACCTCAAATCCCCTTTGCAGTGTTGAGCATTAACAAATAATAATTCTTGAATTGGGTAGAAACTGTTTTTTACTGTTTTCCTCTAAGAGGTCAAGGTAGGCAGAATTCTAAGAATGACCTTTGCCCTTGTGTAATCCCCACCCCTTCGCTTGCGGGCTTGAACCCAATTTGATGAAAGAATACAACTGCGAGCGTTACATTATGGTGAAAGAGGGATTATTCAGGTGGGCGCAATCTAATCACACAAGCCCTTTAAAAGCAGTGAATCTTTTCTCCTGGTAGCAGAAGAGGAAGTCGGAGGTGTCTGAAGAATAAGACTTGACACTTGACGTGCTGCTGCAGCACGGGGACTGGGTGCCAAGGCTGTGAGCACTCTGCAGCAGTTGAGACTGACTTGGCCGACAGCCAGCAAGGAACCAGGGGTTTCAGTCCTACAACCACAGGGAACTGAATTCTGCTAACAACCTAAAGGAGTTTGGAAGTGAATTCTTCCTCACAGCCTCCAGATAAGAGCCCAGCCCAGCTGACACCTTAATTTCTGCCAGTGAAACTCTAAGCAGAGAACCACCCAACTTCCTCCCCTCCACTCTCAGACTTCTGATCTGCAGAACCGTGAGCTAAATTTTTATAATTTTTTTTATGCCGCTGTGTTTGTGGTGACTTGTCATGCAGCAATAGGAAACTAATACAGAGGTAAATAGAATATATTTTACAAATTGAGGTAATATTTACATAATACGAGATTACCCATTAACTATATTTAAGTGTAGAACTCGGCAGTGTTAGTAACTGTATTTAAGTGTAGAACTCAGCGGCGTTAGTACATTCACAACATTGCGTAACCGTCACCTCTGTCTAGTTCTAAGACATTTCGCCACCCGGAAAGGAAGCTTGTACCTGTTAGGCAATCACTCCCTATTCTCCCCTTCTCCTGGAAAACATTAATGTGCTTTCTGTCTCTATGAGTTTATCTAGGTTGGATAATTCATACAAATGGAATCATGTAATATGTGTCCTTTTTGTGGCTGGCTTCTTTGGCTTATCATAATATTTTTGAGGTTCCTCGACAAGTATATATCAGTACTTCATTCAGTACTTCATTCCTTTTTATGGCTGAAGAAAATTCCATTTTATATATATAACATTTTGTTTATGTTTTCATCAATTGATAGACGTTTGGGTTGTTTCTCCTTTTTGGCTATTGTGAATAGTGCTGCTATGAACGTTTGTGTGTAAGTATTTCTTTAAATACCTGATTTCAGATTTTTTTGCGTATGTAGGAGTGTAATTGCCAGATCACTTTATAATTCTATGTCTAACTATTTGAGGAAATGCCAGACTGTTTTGCGTGAGCCTGCACCTTTTAACATGCCCAGCAGCAGTGTGTGGGGGTTCCAGTTCCTCTCCCATCCTTGCTGTAACGCAGGAGCTCCAGGCCAGGTGCCTGCACCTGGAATATTCCAGAAAAACCACCAGGGAGGACTGGAGGGGTGCCACATGCCATTTATTAATCACGGGGCAGGGAATCTTCAGCAGCGGCCTGTTGGAGCTGCAGGAAAAGGCACCTGGCCAAAGGCAGGCAAAGTTTTATGCCTACAAGCAGAGGGAGGGGTTATCTCCCTGGGAGAGAGAAGACGGACAGGAGCAAGATGTGCTGCTTGGTTACAAGTGCAGATTCATGTCCATGGGAGCAGCAGAAAACATCCTTGGGAGCAGGCACTGCCAAAAGCTCTTTGTGTACTGCCTTCCTGGGCTGCTGGCTGGGCAACCAGCAGTCTTCTGAGTATGTGGAGGGGCTGTGTTCTGAATTAACCCCACACTTGTCAATACTTATTTACCTTTTTTAAACAAAATATTCATTCTAGGAAGTGTGAAGTGGTATCTCACTATGATTTTGATTTGCATTCACCTAATGATTAATGATGTTGAGCACCTTTTCGTGTATTTGTTAGCTGCTTGCATATCTTCTTTGGAGAAATGTCTATTGAAGTTTTTTTGCCCACTTATTAATTGGATTTTCTTTCTGTTGCCGAGTTGTTAGAGTTCATTATATATTTGAGATACCAAAGCCTTGTCAGATTCATGACGTGCAAATTTTTTTCCTTAGGGGTAAAGAGAATACTGAGGGACATGTAAACATGTCCCTCAGTAATTCATGGAAACATTTCATGTATTGAGGTTAAGCTCTAATTCTTTCTAATGGTCCATTGTGCGAGTACTATAATTTATTCAACCATTTGCTATTTATAGTCATTCACTCTGTTTTTAGTTTTTGGCCACTGCCAACTGCTAAAATTAACATCCTTTATATCATATATGTCTACAGGTTTTGTTTCATTTTTACGGGATTTAACCTCAGGAGTGGGTTAACTGGATCGAAGAGTGTATACATTTTTTTATTTGGGCATTTTCCAGTCATTTTCTATACAAGCTCTAACTTACAGTTTTACTAGCAACATATGAGAGTATTCTTTTTGGAGAATATTCTTTTTGTACTGCATCCTTGCCAAAAATAGGTATAATCAGGCTTTAAAATTTTTGCTTAAAAATAAAAAAACTAGATTCGTCTACAGCCATGCCACCCTGAACGTGTCCGATCTCATCTGATCTTGGAAGCTAAGCAGGGTTGGGCCTGGTTAGTACTTGAATGGGCATTAAAAAAAATAAGTAAAATAAAATAAAATAAAATTTTTGCTAGTTTGATAGGTGGAAATCAGTGGTTCTCAACTTGTAAATGATTTTACTCCCACCCTCCAGCACCCTAGGATGTTTGCCAGAGTTGAGATATTTTCGATTGTCATAACTGTCAATTATTGGGAGTAGGAGCTACCAGTTTCCAGTGGGAAGAGCCAGGGATTCTGCCAAATATCCTGCAATACTCAAGGTAGCTCCCACAGCGAAGTTATCCAGCCTAGAATGCCAGTAGTGCCGAGGCTGAGAAACCCTGGTATAAAGTGATACCTCATTTTATCTTCCATTTGAAAATCTTTATGGGTGAATTTGAGCATCTTTCCATATGTTTGTCAGCTATTTGGATTTACTCTTCTGTAAATTGCCCATTCAGGTTCTTTGCTCATTTTTCTTTTGGTTGTCTCTCTCATCAATTTATAAGACCACTTTATATTTTATAAGCCCTTTATTTGTCCTCTTCACAGAAAATCTTTTTCAAATATCTTTTATTGACTAGTTTACAGTATCTTTTGCCAAACAGTAAGATGTTATTGAAAAGCATAAAACAAAGTCTGAACAAATGGTTAGATGTACTATGTCCTTGGGTAAGAAAACGTTATAAAAATGTTCCTTTCCCCAAAGTTATAACTTTAATGAAATTCCAGTTGGAATCCAATCAATATCCAATTAAGAATCCAGAACTATCTTAATGTTTACATAGAATAATAAATGTACAAAAATAACAAAATTTTGCAAATAAAGACTAGTAAGGGGGTATTTGTCTCACCAGATATCAGAACTTACTTTAAAAGCTCTAGAATCAAATCAACTTGTTGATATAATTGGAATAGACACATATATAAGTGAAACAGACTAGAGAATCCAGAAGCAGGGCTCACAATATGAAAATTTAATGAATGACAAATATTTTGTTCAATTAAATGAAAAAAGGATGGATAACAATAAA